TATATATATATATATATATATATATATGGGCCCGAGCCATACCTGTGTCAGGGGTTAAAAATGCCTGTGCCAGATGGTATAGGTTCTGTACCATGCATACCACCCATTTTAACAATGTCTCTGTATCTGTTGGCTTTTAGACAGGTGAATACCAGCCCTACTGAACCGTGCCAAGCGGTATTGCTAACCTTGCTTCCTGCTTTGATTGGAACTGTTCGCATAAAAATTTGACATTTGTCTTAGGATTATGATATTATATATAATCTTGGATGGAAAAGATTTTTTTCTTCACTTAATGACTCCGATGCTTCTAAGAAGAGATGGAGCCCACAGCTGAGGCAGTCCTTTTTAAGGTTCATATTACTGAGTAAATTATATTAACTCGACAAAGTTTAATCTTTATATTTGGCAACTAAAGTTATTGGTTAACTATCTTAGCAAAGAAAACGAGAAGGTTATGTTATTACAAGGATTTTCATACTGCGGCATGGGGGTGTGCCATAACTTTTTGGGTTGGTAAGATTTCGTCCCATTCTATTTCAGCTGACATAGGCTGAAGATTGGCGTATCCTTATATTGACACATTGGTGTGGATCAGCATGAAGTATACATCTTGATCCATATTGCCATATGCTGATCGGTGTAGTGATCCTCGATTTTAACCACCGCTTAAATGGGTCATTATAGATTAGGTTGTCCAGCTGCATCAATTTTATCCTTCTTAATACTTGGGCACTTTGGTGGTTTAATTATATTTATTGCACTATTGGTGTAGTAGCTTCCATTTTTAAAGCAGCTGGGTGTTTGTTGGATATTCAATATTGTGAATTATTGCATTATCAAACACTAAGTGGTGCTTCTATTCTTGTTTCAAGAGAAAAAGTGCCAATTGTCAAAATCTGTGTTCCTATTATGCTTGTGCGTGCATGTGTGTGTGTATTGTAATTGTTCACACTTCTATTCCACTTAGAGGAGGTCCCATGTCCAATCTATCGAGATTTTCTGGGACAAAATTAACTGACATTCTTTTTTAGATAATCATTGATGGATGACCTTAAAACCCTGTGTCACCCTAGTCAAAAGAAGGGGGAAATCCAAAAAAAAGAAAAGAGAACAAGGAACTGGTAATAGATTTTAATTATCACCATCATTATTTTTAATTTAAGTAGCATTTGTTACTACGACTCTTGAGGCCCAGAAGTTCTTGCTTGCTTTGCCAATTTCTCATTAACTTGTTATGCTCACATATTTGCTGCTTCTATGTTGCAAGGGTTAAACTGCTTATTTAATTTTTTTTATTGGCTCTGCATGATTGGCAGAATATATGCTCCTAAAATATTGTTTAGAATGTTGATCATCAATAGGTTGTCATGGATTCTGATACATGAGCAGAACTTCATTGTAATCATATTTAATATACTTTATGGAATATTAGGGTGATCGAACGGAGAAGGTTGGGGTGATTGACACTGAATTCATTGTTCACATGGGAATACCCTCTTTAGGAGGCTCTTCTATTAACAAGGTGCTCAACCTCCCCCATGGATAGTCTTTTTCATTTACCTGTACTTATATGCTTCAACATGCCAATTATTACTTGTAGGAGAATTTTGTGCATATCAAAAGTGTTGTTTTTTTGCGTTTAAGAAGTATAGTTGTAATGTTTGTGTAAAAAGAATAGTTCTGATGGGAGTGTTCTGTCTGTAAAGATGGTTAATTTCTTTTTGCTTTCCTCATTTTGATTGTGCAAGATGTTTGACATTAACTGGATAATAGTTAGCAGGCCATTGTAGCATGGATTAAGAAAACTGTGTTTCCAAGTCATACAACTGAGCTTCTTACTTCTATAATGATTGTTGACATTAAAATGTTAATGATTGATGGTATAATGGTTCTGTTGTAGCTTTTATTAAGAAAATGTTTTCTTGTTTTTGTTTCTTAGTTGAGGATAAGGCAGGTCACTTATTATACCAAACAATCAACTGGGTTCAGCTGTAAATATAATATCTTGTTTGGTGAAATCATGGATATATACGGTAGTGACTGCTGCATAAACGAGAAACGAGGGGATTCTAGTATGAAGTTAAAATCCTGGTGTTGCAGTCATTTTATCATGATTAAATATACAACACTGAGATATGGTATCCAAGTCGAGTTATCTGCTTTTCATGTCCCACCATATGCCAACTGTGAAATTGATTTTTTCCCCTCTTACTGCAGGCATCAAATCATAGATCCTTGGACTTACGGACCCACGTAAGGACTTTCTATATTATAGTCATAATGAGATGGATTTAAATGGATGTTATTAATAATAATTACTTATTATTATTTTTTATTCTATCATTCAACAGATCAGAAGGCAGTCAACAGCTGAGCTCAAAATTTTCAAGGCACGCTGGAATAAGGCTGTGAATGAGGATAGAGAATGGGTGGATCCTTTTTAAGTATTTATGAGAAAAAAAGGGTGATATAAGAAAATATAATGACCTCAGTTCAAGATCTTAAACATGGCAAGAATTGACATAACAGTCTGTCTATCAGTGGCATGACTGGTGGTTTCTATAGGTGAGTATGATGACACTTTATTTACTATGTTTCTGCACTACCTTAGTTATAATGTGCAAGTTCATTACACAACCTGCAGATCTCCCAAATGTGCTCCTGAGCTAAACTAAATAGAAGTTGAATGGCCGATATTGTTGAGTCTCAACTTGAGCCGTTGATGCCTAGCAAAGCAAGAACTACACATACCACAATTCTTTATTGATTGTTTTTGCTTCTCAGTGCGATGGTCTTTTCATTACCACCGATGATGTATACCAGAGATTTTAGCTTCCATGTGGGAAAGGTGAAAGAAAATATGATATCCCACTCTACTGTGAAATTAGCTAAATCATATGTTCAAGTATATTTTTCATACATATGTAAACCCTTTCTGCTTACTACAGGTGTTGTGGCAATTTTGTAACTCGGGATCTGTTGCTGCAATTTGTATGACTATTCTGTAAAAAACACTGCATTTGGGTGAATTATATGTAGTTTGAACCGCCAAGTTGCACTGCTAACACCATGGCTTTTACATTTTGCATCTAAAGAAGCAACTGCTTTACAACTGGGTTTATGTTTGGAGTGAGATATTGTTGGCAAATGTAGGTATACTGGTATAGTACTGCATTGGTGAGGAGACCATAAGATAGTTTGTATATTTGGCTAGCATTTGTGACAGATCAATGAATGGCTTGTGGCAATTGAAGAAGATCAGTAAGTTCTATTTTTTCTCCTTCAGTTTGAGCTCTACCTGTTGGTCATGCTCACCACTGTCAAACTAGTCATTGGTGGCGAAAGTATTTACATGCCTCTCAATATCTTCAAAAGATCTCATCATTATAATTTTTTCTACTTTTTAAAATATGCATGTATGTTGTTTACCTTAAGTATTGATATGTTAGTGTTTATATTTTTTACATCTTAAGAATTAGTTTGATGGTGATATATTAGAGATATTTAAAAAGATTGAAGATTCAAAATTTTATTCAATATATTTTAAAAGATGTTGGTAAGTTTAGTTAGTAAAGATTTTGAGGCTGTAAGATTCTATTCAAATTTTTTCTTAGTCACTTATTAAAAAAAATTACAAAATAGTTAATAGATATTTGCTTGATGGTTGAATAAGAAATTATCCTCTTTTCTTCGTGGATCTTAGAATTTATAAGAGTAATATTTTTATTTTCGATTTTGATAAGGATGAATATGTAAACATCACCAATACTAAGACTTCAGTCATATATGCATTAAGGTTCGTTGTATCATACCATACCGACGTTTCGATCCGGGCTCGATATGGTACGGTATCGGTGTATCGGGCGGTACATCAGGGCGTACCAAGCGGTATCGAATATTTTTTTATTTTTTTCATATTGTAACAGTGTTATAGTATAATACTGTAGCACTGTACGTCACTAGGCTTTTGTGATTTGAATCATGTGATACGATCATCGACAAATTTGATTGACCGGTCCAATTCTTGTCTAACACTGACGCGGACCGAATTGGTCCAACCGAACCGTTTCGTTTAAATAACCCAGGCGTCATCCTCATTTCTATTGTTTTCGAGCCCGAGCCAGCCATTACGAAACCCTAGAAATCTATTGCAACTTCCAGTCGAGGAGTCTTCGCAAATCGGTAAGATCGATTGTTCTTCGGGTAACATCGAGTAGAGGTTGAATTTTGCGGTGATACTGTATTGCGTTGTTTGTGTGGATTGTAGAGAAGAGAGGCGGCAATGACCACCGAAGAGGACCCGATCGTGCAAGCAAGCAAAACCCGCCGCGAGAGGCTGAGTGCTCTACGCGCGGCTAAGGAGTACCACAGCATGCCGGACGATGCAGCGACCGAGGACGAAGCCAAAGCAGATGGCCCGGCAGATGATCACGTTGTGGTGTACGACCTCTTCTTTTTTTGTGTTTAGCAGTTCTTATTTGGTTTCAATTCTATTTTCCCGATTATTACTGCCTGGTGCTGGTGTTCTTTACTCGTACCTTAATTGCTATAGTTAAGATCAAGCGATTACGTTTTGCTCAAGACTGTGCGGTATCGCAACCGATTTCTGGAACAAGTTATTATGTTTTGGTGACCAATGCGTATTCCTTGAAAATTCTGTTGGCTTATGACATCTGACTATGCTAATAAGAAATCTAATCGAATTTGATGTGCAATTTCTATACCCAACTAATATTTGTCATACAAACATGCCAAATTGGGAGTGCTATTAGATGGCGATGTTTTCCTTCACATTCTTAATTTCTTCCTACTGTTTTTTTTCTCATGTAATTAAATGGCTATAATTCATGGCCATTGTTTATTCTGCTTTCAATGTTATGTATAAGTTATCAAACTTTGGATCATAAAATCAAGTTGAATCGGCCTATGAAATGTAAATCCAATAGACTTGGGTTGACTTGTGAGTTGACTCGGTACAATAGGTTGAATTTATCGAGTTGTCGGAAGTCAGGGCACAAATGATGAGTGAGCCCTGGGTTTTTGTCTGATGCCGCTGCCAACATCACTGGCCGAGCGACCTCTCTTGGCTGCTACTGCAAGGTGCCACCTCCCGTAGATGAAGCCACCTCCTCTTGTTGTTACTGTTCTCTCCGGTCTCTTCTTCTCCCATCTCCTCCCTCTCCTTCCCTCTCTCCTATCTCCCGCCCTCTCCTGTCTCCTCCTATCTCCCGCCCTCTCCTGTCTCCTCCCCTCTCTTCTTCTCCCGTCTTCTCTCCTCTCCCTCTTCTCCCTCTCCTTTCCTCTCTCATCTCTTCTCCTCCCTTCGCTCGTCTCTTCTCTTCCCTTCTCATGTGATCTCCTCTCTTCTTCTTTCCTGTTCTGTCCTCTCCTTGATTTTATTTCTCTAATATCCAGATTCATTTGTGGAGAAAAAAATATATTTATTCATGATGAACTTAGACAATTCTTTGCATTCAAATGTCCAAATCTCAAGGTACCATACAACCTTGATTCAGTTGCATTGCATTTTATTTAAGAAACTTAGAAATCTTCTGTTGTTATCCTATTAGAAGCTAGACTTATTTTGCTTGGTAAAAGAAGTGAGGTCATGTAAATGCATAAGTTGTCATTCTCTTTGATTTTGTTCATATACCATCACATGTGATTAATTAGGCTTTGATGTGTAGCTTATAGCACCTCTTCTTGCAAAAAAGTCATTATATGAAAAAAAAAGCCCTTAAAAAATGAGACGCAAAATAATAAAATTAATTAATATTGCAAATAAGATATTATGCATTCACTTTAAGAAGAATGCAATTATTAACTCAAGGTTATGCACGTGTTATTAAATGTTATCAAAAAATTATTTATAAATTTCTTTAAGTATATATATGTATTTTAAAATTACTTTTTTGAGGATCTTACAATCTTATGATCTGAGTTTGTGAGTCCCTTTACAATCCTAGGTAAAAAAGTGAGTTTTGCAACCTTGGATTTTAGAGATAGTGATTTGGTATGATTAGTTAACACCTAAATAAAAGGATAAATGAGGAAATCTTGGGAAAAGTTCACCAATATAACTCATGTTTCTACAGGGAACCATAGACTTACAGGGAAACAACAACTCTTGTTTCTACAGGAAGGCTATCAAACTCGTGATCTGGTCCATAGGATTGTGCAATCTTACGGTTCAGATTAAGCCTAGTGAGTTAACTCGGCCTCTGAAACTTAAATTCAAATGGACTCAGGTTGACTCATGAGTCGACTTGGTACAATCAGTCGAGCTTATCATGCTGTTCAGCTTTGCTGAGTAGGCTATATTGGGCTTCATAGCTTATTTTCAGCTTGTAGAGGTAGCTAACCTCTTTTTCCCCTCCAAATGGTGGTCGCTTACCTTTGTAGCAAGCTGACAAGGACACATGGTGATCCTGTGTGCCTGAATCTGGGAACACCTGTTTTTATTCAGACCGGGGTCTTGCTGCTTGACTGAACCTAAATTCCAACTTTGTTGACTGGCTGATCTGCTTGGACCATCAAGCTGTTGGGGCCCTGGTTTCTTAACATCATAACATATGAATCCTATACAATCCAACTTAATTTTCCTATGAAATTGTGTGCCAAGTAAACCAGTTGCATGATTCAAAATGCTATTAAGAGCATGGGGGAGGCCAAGGAGGAGGAGGGGAGAGGAGAGGAGAGGACGCAGAGAAATAGAGGGGGAAGAGAAGGAAGCAAGCATACTTGTGGGAAGAAGAAGACGTGTCAACACGGACAAGGAAAAGACACCAATGCAGATGAGGAGGCATTGATCATGCGGTGGGTAGGAGGACGAGAGAGCTGTTATGTAGTGGGAAGGAGGTTGAGGGAGCAACATGGTGGGAGGAGCTTTTGACATGGAGGAGGGAAGAGTGAGAACCTGACAGAAAGAAGCATAGAAACACAAAAAGGGAAAAAAAGAAAGATAGCCGACAGTTGTCAACGCTAAAAGAGATCTGGTAACAATACTGAACAATAAACATACCACCCAGTACAGCTCAAGACTGATCTGCTGAGCATCTGGTAAGCCTCGGATGTCGAGCTTACCGGTAGTAAGTCTTATATCTAACTAGACCTGGCAAGTTTAATCTACATATCGGTTGGTGGTCAAACCGGTAAATACTGGTCTATTGAACGGTGCGTGCATTTGAAATCCACACTCTGGGTATTTCAAGTGTGTCTTGTTCTCCGTTTGTATAGTATTATCATCTTGGTTAGTAGCTTGCCATTCTGCTCTCTCTTATAACACAAAATCTTGATGCTATTTATTGAACTTTCTTTTTCTAAACGTATCATTCCAGGAAAGAAATGGATGCAGAGGAAGATCCAATTGAACAAGCTGCTTCTGCACGGCGTGAAAGGATAAAAGCTCTTAAGATGGCCAAAGAGCTTTTGGATACGCCAGATGAAGAAGCAGCAAAACATGATAGTAAGACAGAAGACTCTGAGGATGAGTAAGCCAGTCATTTATTCATGTTTTTATTTTGAAGTATTATTCTGCTATTAGGATAAGTTGGATAGCATTACAAACAGTGTTGTTATCACCATATTCTAGTTGAATTTTTAATGTATTAGAGGTATGGGATTCAAATGCTTTTCATTAAGATTACATGCGAAAAAAATTGTCAATTTGTAAATCTTGAATGTTATTGATGCATCTTTTAGCAATTTTATTTTGATCAGTTATGACATGTGACTTCCAAAGTGGCCTTTTCTATTTCTTTTGCAGTGCTGAACTTCTAAGAAAGCTATTTAAGTTGTAACTTTGTTGGTGTAAATTACTGTTTACCATCTCATAGGAGCCCTAGGCAATAGACCTAGCTTCATCTCTATATTGTTGCTTGTGAGACATGTCAATTCTCAACTTCATGAGCTGTTAGGGATTACACCTCATAAGTAGTGCTTTTATAAACTGAGGAAGAGAAATACTCAAGTGCAAGCAGAAGGAAAAATAACATCATGTTGCTGGAATAAGGGTTAATATTTCACTAAGTGTCTCCAAGGGGCTTGCATGGC